TGTAGTGTATGTTTCAGATGGTTTAATAACTGAATGCCGATATCAGCAAAGCACCAATCTCTTTCCCATTCACAAAGTAAACCATTTTTGCTAGACAACAGTAGATTAAAAGACAGTATAACACTGATAAAACCTTCTATTTTGAAAAAGACTGCCAAATATTTATCACATGTTGCCAGGGATATATTGAGCATAGGGAAAGAAAAGATGGACGTACAAAATATAGTTATATAAATAAATCCCAGAGGCCAGCTGAAACATAATCAAAATAAAAGGGCAGAGATTTGAGTAACACTTTCATATGCTCACTTATATATATGAATACAAATTTAAACAAGATTAATATAATTGAAATACAAATGTATCTTCCTGAATGAATACTAAGAAATAAATTAATAGATCTTACTGAAATGGGAAAGATGACTTTTTTCTCTGGTTAACTTACTGCTGACAGACAACTGTTTTCTCTTTTAACTCTTGTCTTCAAATGCACTCTGTTTTTTGTAACAGCTGTTCAAAGAGAAGATTGCCCACTAAAGCAAGCGACAAGCCACCTTAGACATTCATTTATTCAGCCAGTTTGATGCCGCCCTATGTCAAAAGACTCAAGGTGGTTTACAATATACCAGAAATAAAACCAACCACAACCCAACAGAAAAAAAATAAATAAATTACAGAAATAGTCCTGATCTAACCACTACTGTTCACTGAATTTGCCTCAAAGTAATAGGTAATGGTTTAATGTTTATACACCTTGAGGCTGCCACTAAATGTTGTTGGCTTGAAAGGGGAAAAAGTACTTTTACACTGGTGCCGCTAAGGACAACTTAGCCAATCTCATCCATGGGCTGGGAACAAGATGAAAGCAACAGCCTGGAAACATGGGAGAAACAAGGTGCTGCCGGGGCAGGTACGCTCATACTGGCAGGAGGTTCACATGGGGAAAGACCCTAAGATCATTTCAATATAGGAACTGCCAGGCTTCTGGGCCCGTGGCTGGTCAAAGCCAGCTATGTAGAGCAATAAAATGAAGTCACTTCCCAATTTGGTCAACAGTTGTTCGTTTGGTTTTTTACAAGATATGTACTGGGCTATGCAGATAGTCCTTGCTTACCGACTGTTCAGCAACCATTCAAAGTTACAACATTGCTGAAAAAGTAACTTTACGACCAATGCCTGCATTTATGAACTTCACAGCGTCCCTCAGTCATGTGATCACCATTACAGTCAGTACGCATTGTCTTGTGCCTGACCTGTTGTTTTTCTCCCCTCCTCATCTTGCAGAGCAGAGAGGTTGGAGAAGAAAGGATTACAAGACAATAAGCAAGCACACAATGGGTAATACACATCGAAAGCAATGCACTGGAACCAGCAGCCACCAGCATACTATGCAATAGCCCAGTGTATTCCTGATTATGTGCCTGCTTACTCTCTCTTAATCCCTTCCTCCCCAATCTCTCTGCTCTGCAAGTGGGGGAGGAAAAAAATTAGCGATTTCTGTAGGCAATGTCTCTTGTGCCTGACCCATCCCCCCTCCACCCTCCCGCATAATCCCTTCCTTTCCAAAGAATGTAAAAACAAACATCAATGCCCTTCTCGTTAATTATCCCAGTGCCAGGGTGAGCATTCCAAAGGGCAGGAGAGTGGGGGAAAGGAAAGCTCAGTTGTGGTCATGGGATTTCCCACTTAGTGAATGCTTCAGTTAGCAATGGAGTTGCCAGTCCCAATTGCGGTTGCTAAACAAGGACTACCTGTATTTCCAAATATAACCATATAATGTGATCAGAAACGAGGATAAGGGGAGGTTTGTAGAGACAAATACGGGTCACATTGTGGCAGTAAAAGTAGTGAAATGTACCTATTTCTCTGCTTTTAGTGCATCTGCACATAACTGGACAACAACCCTATTGTGGGTGACTTGGTCTTTTCTGGGCAAGGAGGGGCTGAGGGAACCCTTGTACGGTCACTGTAAGACTATTCTAGGGATCTGTTAGGTAAAGTTGCTGGGATTCTGGCTGTGCACATCCAATGGAATTGACTGGGGCATGGTCTTGCTTTGTTCTCTGGGGAGAGTTTGAGTCTACTAGTCCTAAGGAAGCGGACAAGGTCCTTGGGGCTTTGAATCCTGTCACCTATATTTTAGATCCATGTCTCTCCTGGTTGGTTAAGACCTCCCAGAAACACGTAGTTAGACTGAAGCACGGGGAATGCATCCTTGCAAGACAGGAAGTGATGGTTTGTTCTGTCCTTAAGAGGCCTTCGCTGGATGCGATGATCCACTCTCCAACCTTTCCTTTTTAGTAGGCTTGCAGCTCCAAACGGCCTTTGAAGAAATGGATAACCTGGACCCTATTCGGTCAGGTGTCAGGCTGGATTATGGCACTAAGATGGCACCGATTGTGCATGTCGATGATCTCTGGCAGACTTGAGATGAAGCTGGTGTACCCATCCTAGCTCCCCTATTTAATATCTGTGACAATGAACTGGAGATTACAGTACTTCAGCTTGATGGCTACTGCCCATTATTACCCAAAAGGAAAATTTGTGGCTTGTTATATGCAGATGCTGCTGCTCTATTTTCACATACTAAATTAGGTGTGAAATGCCTCCTTGAAGCACTACTGTACTGTAGTCAACTATTGCCAAGAAAATCAACTACAAATCAAGTATGATAAAACTAAAATTTTGGCTTTTGTGAAAAAATAAAGAAGTATAGCTGGAAAATTGAAGATCATATCACACTAGTCAAGAATTTTAGTTATCTGGGCATTTTATTTAACCATGCTGTGTCCTGGCAACATCAGTGCAAAGCAGTACTTCTGAAAGCAGAAGTTTACTAGGCAACTCTGGGAGATGAAGCACCAGAAGAGACGCCTGGAGCACCACTGGAGGAAGAGTCGAAGTGAATCTGACTGGACATGGATAAGAGCCCATTTTACCTCATTGCGATAAGGGCGGCAAAATGTCAATATTTCTCTGCCCTTATTGTGTCTCCTGATAGCTGTCCAGTGGCCCTGTTTAAGGTGACCCATACCTATTGGGAAGGGAGGGTCCACTGGAACATCTGCTGGGCCGTTGTGAAGATTATTCAGGCTATCTATCTGGTGGATAAAGTCACTCAGATTTGCTCCGTCTTGGACTCTGACTGGGCACAGCAGGCTGAGGGGCCTGGGGTTTGGTCTGGTGGTGTGATTTGGGATGGGTTTCAGCCAGCGGCTCCTGGGGAAGTAGACAGGGCTCCCTGTGCTGCCAGCTTGGCTACCTGCTTACTGGATCCAGGTCTCTCTTGGGTTATGAAAGCAACCAGGGAAGTGACCCACACCTGGGTCTGTGCAGCAGTCTTAGCCTCTGTGATGGAGGGGGTGGTGCCTCCAGCCTTGAAAAAGGCAGTGGTGTGCATGCCCCCTCCTCAAAAAGCTGTCCTTGGACACCACAGTCTTTGAGAATGATCG